ATTCAGCTAACATAAACAGAACATTTACTCTCGACTCCAAAGCACGACTAGTCACGTGATTGACTTAATCAATCTGCGTTCGCAATAGCAGCGTCATCTACAAAGTTAAATTTAATAATAACAGTGTGTAGGCATTAACATCGAACATATTGAAAATGTATCCATTAGCCAAATTCAGTACATAAAAGAACTATTAGCTAAATACGGTATGCAAGCATGTAAGCCTATATCAACACCGTTAGAACCTAACTTTAAACTATGCAAATCATCAAATGTCGCCAAAGAAAATGAAAGTGTAGACAAAAATAAATATCAATACTTAATCGAATCCTTAAATTACTTAGCTGTACTAATTCAGAAGTCAAAAAAAAAAAAAAAAAAAAATCAGCGTTATATTTTCAAATTAATGCTGTATCAAATTAGTACTTTGCTGTATCTACACGACCTGGCATTTCAAATTCTGTTAGTAGACTAAATCAATTGAACAGTAACCCGAAATACTTTCATTGAATTCAAGCAAACATGCACTACAGTACCTAAAATCTACGTTAAACATGAAGATAACTTATCGCAAAACAAATGAAAGTTGTACATGTTATGTAGACGCGGATTGGGCCGAAAATACTCTCGACAGGAAATAATTTAGTGGCTATGGGTTCATATTAGTAGGATGCCTAATTTTCTGGGAATCACGCAAGCAAAGAATTGCAGCGCTCTCAAGCACTGAAGCAGAATAGATAGCGTTACCTGAAGCTTCAAACGAAGCTATGGACTTGCGCTTGCTATTAAGGGGGCACAGCACCTTTAAGCATTCAAAAAATCAATTTTTTTTTATTTATTCTGATTTTATTAACATTTCTGAGCACTATGCAAAAAACCGCATTGAAAAATTCCTATTATTTCTCTAGTTATGACCATTTACGCAAACCCTTATGCAAGAGACAATCTGATAAAAGGTCAGCTATTGCCATTTAAAGGGGCGGACACGCCCACGTGACTGTTTACGTTCCATTTCTGCGACTGCGATATTTCTTTCCTTTCGAATGTTTTCTTTATGATTGCTGCCTCACAATTTTTTATTTTCCCTCCTCTCTTTTGAGAAGCGGGAAGGTAACTACTCATCTGTATATCTTCGTTTCCGTTAGCTGTTTGTTTACCTCGTGTTAGAATTACGCATTATCGTTTTCTTTCAATTTTGAAAGTTTGAATTGCCGTTTTCACAAAAACGGCAATTCAAACTGCTTTTTTTTAAAAGCAAAATGAATGTTGTTAATGCTAAAAGGGCATCTGGTCAAAGATCCAAAAAGACGGAAGAGGCATCAGTATTATGGAAATCAACATACAAAGCGTGGAGTGTGTTTGACATAGACCTGAAACATTTCTGCATCAGCAAGAAAGATCGGTAACGATTCATCTGCATCAGCTGAACTTGTGGATAACATGAATGATAATTTTGATGGTTATGCTATTATCGATAAAGAACTGTTATTTTCAGCATTAGAACAATGTTTATGTTGTTCTATATGCCATAATAAAATACATATAAACTCAGAAATAAATTATGGGCTGACGATAAAAATCAATGTTACATGCAGTTCTTGTGGAATAATTTCCTCTTTCAAAAACTCTAAGATGGTTGGAAAAAAACAGAATGCTTCTGACTTAAATAGACGATTTATTCTGGCCATGAGGTGCATTGGCAAAGGACTAGCAGAATGTAAAACCTTTTGTGGACTTATGGACTTACCATCGCCTGTCGCACAAAAATTTTATGACAAGATTGTATTGTAAAACTGCGAAAGATTTTCGTTCAACAGAAAACTATTTAGAATGCAAACGTCTTCACGCGAAAGTGTGTGCAAAAAATCATTCGGGATCATCTGCTCAAGATGGAAGTGAACGGGATGGTTGAAATGTTTTCTCGAATCAGAAGAAAAATATGGTGTTCGTTATGTGAACTACATTGGTGATGGAGACTTGTAAAACTTATTTAGCACTTTCGAATAATAACACATATAGTGATCCCATTTCTAAATAGAATGTGTTGGTCATGTTCAAAAAAGAATGGGTACACGTTTAAGAAAATTAAAAGTGAATTTCGTGGAAAAAAGCTAAGTGACGGAAAACCTCTTTGTGGTAAAGGGTCGTCTTACCGATGTCTTGATCGACCAACTTACTACGTATTATGGTAATGCCATACGAAAACACTGTAACAACTATCGTGATATGCAGAAAGCAATATGGGCTATATGGTATCATAAACGCTCGAATGATAACGAAGCAATTCACGATTTTTGTCCAGATGGAGCAGATTCTTGGTATCAATACAAAAAAGCCTTTTTTACTGGTGCACTGAAAAATTTTAAACATAAAAAATCTGTACCTGTGGCTGTTATGGATGTCATAAAGCCTATTTTTAAAGATTTGTCTCACCCAGACTTGTTAAAAAGGTGTATTGGCGGGCGAACGCATAATGCGAATGAATCGTTAAATTCATTAATTTGGACATTTTGCCCCCAAAACAACAAATTCTGCAAAAAAACATTGTGGAAATTGCAGTAAATTTAGCTGTAGCAAGCTTTCAATGATGGAAAATGTGCAATTTTATCTTTGATGATTGTGAATTACAATTGACATCTGGTGCTGAAAAGCGAAAACATTTGCTAAAATGGCAGATGAACTTCGCTTAAAATTTGCTAAGCAACGAGAGCGCTGATTAACAGTTTAGAGGCTCGTATAGCTAAGCGAAGGGAGAAAAAGAAACAAGATGAAATGAATAAGCTAAAAGAATGGAGTTGTTTATGCATCCTGGAGCATTTTGATTAATGTTACTAAAATATAAATAGGGAAAAATTAATATTAAATCTTTGAATTGAGTTTTCTCAAAAATGTTAAATTTTAAGATTGCGCGCATAATTGCTTTCAAACTATAACTATGATAGAATACATGCAAAATTGAATCATATGTGTGTCTTTATATTATCTACATGTTAAAACCAAAAAATATCATATTTTGATAAAAAAATTTTAAATTTTTGATTAAAAAGTATCGAAATATTTTGATAATTTTAAATTTTTTAAAATTGTTTTACCATTTTATAAATTTAAGTAGTTTTTTTTAATATATTCTGGTTTTAAATTAAAGTTAGATATTCTAAAAGGATTTTGACCAAAAATTGTTTTCTGCATACCTTTTTTTAAGTTTATGATGCGCGCCGTACTTATTGATTTTTATTTATCTGTTAATCATGAGTATTTTAAATCAACAATTTGAAAATTGTTATTGAAGTGAAAGTTTTTATTTTTGAACACAATGTTGAAAAAGGTGTGTGTTTCACATCTATAAGCAAAAAATAGAAATTATTATGATATTATTTGTGTATCAGAAGGTATCGTTTAGTCGTGTTTAACGTTATTTCGGTTAACGCAAAGGTACTGTGCCCCCTTTAAGAAAGCTAAATTTTTCTGAGAAAATAGCGGAATAGTGTTGTATAATGACAATCAAAGTGGACAACATTTAGCGAAAAATCCAGTTCATCAGTCTCGAACAAAACATACTGATACTCGTTTTCATTATATTTAGAGAGTTATATGACAAAAAAGAAACTGGCATTGTCTCTACAGCAGAAATGCCAGCCGGTATTTTAACGAATAACCTTGGCAGAGGCAAACATAGAAAATGCATGAATCTATTAAGAATTGAGCTTTAACTAATGAATACTTTTTGTTTTATTTTTATTTACAGCAAGGGAGTCAGTGTTAGGAAATTTGCATTCTTCTTTTGCGGCTGCGCTGAGCAGAAAAAGAGTCAAGTATATAATCTCGCCGTAGGATACAAACGCGGTTCACCTCTTTAATTCTACCTCGTATGGAGAACTCTCATCTTCGGACTTCATCATATGTCAGGCCCAGTCGGGATTTCCTGAGGATACTGGCAAGAGCAGGAACGAATTATCCTGCTGAATGCCAAGAAAAACACTAAAGCTGTGTTTCTCAAACGCCAGTACGCGGACCGGCCCGCAAGAAATAATTGCCGGTCCGCGAAATATCCAGCTATCTGTCCAAAATCCAAAGTCCATCTGCCGACAACCGATATTACAACAGCATCTACATTACAATAAAAATAGTTTACTAGTTTAGTATTTAATTATGTGGAAAAATTGTGCCAATGGGTCGAATTATTAAGCTTACCGGTTCGCGAGAACGTACCGAAATATTTTACCGGTCCTTGGAGTAAATCCAGTTGCGAAACACTGAACTAAAGCATCAAAGCATCGTCATACGCGGTGTGGCTGAAGACTGTATGTCCTCCTGATGTCTCATATCGACATGGCCAACAGCAGAGAATCATTCCATGGTGTGGTGATTTCGGAAACTTGTAGCGGAATAGAGCTGTGGAAGACTAGATTGTAATAGGAATCTAGTGAAGTATACCATATAATTTGCTACGCAGCCAAATACCTGCTTAACTAAATGAACTGCGAAGTCGATTCAACTCATATTGTACCAGTCAAGTACATAGATCTGTTATTCATCACATGTTTTAACTAAAGTCTGGCATGCTATGTTCATCTGTTTTGTTAAACTCTAGGAAAGTGCCCATTAAATCTTATGTTTTCAACGTACAGCAAGTGTGCTTACTCCTTTGGTAGGAAATCACATTTTAGCTTACTGCGTATCACTCCCAAGAACAACCTTCAAAAGTTCAAATCAACAATTATCTTTATTTGGAGGAATAGTCTTTCACCTTTAGCTGTATTGAATCATCAGATGTAATAATACACATGCTTATTTTAGCATTTGACAATAACAGATATTTATAGATAATTGTTATCTAAGCATAATCTATAAATGAACACAATAATACACTGCAAGCGCATCTGCAGTTCAACAGTTTCAAGAGTACATTTCGTATACTCATAACATTTTAGCTGGAATTAGAAGAGAGAGTAGATTAATCTTTATCTGAAGAACATAAGAGTGAGAAGAGTAAAGATTATGTTATTTGCTTCGGCAGTACATATACTAAATTTGGAACGATACAGAGAAGATTAGCATGACCCATGCATGCCCTGTTAGATTAAGAGTAATGGAAGCCACTTTTTTCTTAGCACAAGAATAAGTTATGTCCTGATTATACTTATAAAACTTATTGTACTAGTTCAGACACAATAACACGTCCGAACAAGTACTAATTAAGAAGTCAAACAACAAAAATCAGCGTTAATTTTCAAAATTTTCACAGGACTAGTTTCAATGGTTTTACCGAACTACCATCCTCAGCTGCAAAACCGCAAATGAATTAACGCTGATTTTTGTTGTTTGACTTCTGAATTATTGTACTAGTATAAAGTATACTAGTAGTATATAGTTATTATACTAGTATACTAGTATTATTGTACTAGTATAAAACTTATTGTACTTATTGTTGTGCTAGTTTATAAAAGCTATAGTATTAATTATATTAGGACAAAAATGTAAGTATGAGCGTCACGCACATTATATAACAAGAATCACAAGGCAGAGAATAATTTTGGAATACTATCCTTCAAAAAGATTTATTGTAAGCATTTTACTGTTTTTAGGACAGAAAGAGGAACTAATTAAATAAAAAGAAGACTTTGGGATACATAACAAACTAACTTCAGAATTTTATATTAGGTCTCTTAAAACAGTATTATTTACGCATAATGAGATTTTGTGTCGAATACAGAAGATGACTGCGAGATGGTTACAAAAAATAAAGTTGCAGTCACAGCTAGTTCATACAATTCTTTATTTACGGCATAACATTACCGACGTAAGCAAGTATATCGAAATCGCCGCATCCGTTATTCGATCATTATAATCACACGTTAAACATGTTTGTACTATTCATCACGACTGGTGATGAAGAGAAGTAGCAAACAACAGCTGGAAATAGAAAAGGGGGAAGTTGCAGACAACATTTTATTAGGACAAATGATAAGCGAGAGAAGAGAGAAGATTATGCTATTGATATTACATTAAGAAAGCTGATTTTAATTGATTTTCAAAACAGAGTATCGTGAATATTGGTTAAGCAAAGTTTCGATTTATTTACCACTATATAAAGGGCACTAGTTTCACTTATACAGTTATTTGATTTAGTGAATTTTTAGCATTGTATAAGAGTCATATTGGAAGAATTAATTAATAATAGGGGACATACGACAGGGAGGAAGTACTTTAATGTTTTTATTGATGAAATGAGAAATAACCAGTTTAGAAAGGGGGCTGTAGTACTATTACAAATGAAAAGTTACAGTTATATAGTAATTTAGATGTAAGAGGCATAGCTATTTATTATGACAATTGATTCGCTAAGAATTTCATGCAATTATGACAGACTAAACACTTTCTATTCTTAATAAAATATATAAAATGCAGATACAACTAACTTAGCGTTCTTTGTTTTAATAAATTTCACACTTTTAAGACGTTGCGGTAAATAAGGAAAGCAGAGATAGCAATCTAGCTAGACCGGGAAGCAGAGACCGAATTCGACGTATTTCAGGATGAAAGTTCAGTTCAGATTTGTCTCCCACTCGATTAATATTATGTTTTGATTCTCAAATTTGATAATGTTATTAGCTGAACGATATGCAAGTATTTGCATGCAAGAATCATATGCCATTTATTAATTTTGTAATGACGCAGTTTAAAGCTATTTATTATAAGTAGTTACTATTTCCAGGACAGAACAGGGAAATAAACAAATTAAAAATAATTAGTAACCATCGCAAATTAAATTTAGAATTTTGATTTACATACATTTTATCTTACATAGTCCCTTCAAACAGAAAAAGAGACTTGTTGTCCTGCCAACATGTCGCTTCTTACCTTTCTTTAATCAATTGTGTCATCATAACGATGTAAAAAGGCACAAATGTGACCAAGAACGAGGGCGGAGACTGCGTTTTTCGATCTGTGTAATTCTAGTTAAGAATGTGTGTCTGAAGTATTGTTTTGTCCGGAAATAAAATGTGTTTAATGGACCATGAATATTGCTTTATCGTTTCACACCATCAATTTGTAAATCATCAGGCACACATATATGTAAATAAGTGTTACATTTTCCATCTTTAGGCATACCTGATACTCTACAATAAGCATATTTATTGCAACGAACTTCTAATTAAAATATTATTTGTTGCCTTTTAGCATTACTACCTTTACTTATTTCTTTTAAAATTAATAGTCAAATCAAATACACACACAACTGATCTAATCACATCAATATATTTTATTTGGCACAGCAGTTTACATTTATACAAAAGAGATGAGAGAGACTAAAAGAGATCATTTTACATAGTTCAAAGTATATTCTTTAATCAAATAACGTAAAATATATAATAGAAAACTTATCGCGAAATAAGTAGTATTATGTACAACTGTATATATACAGAATATGCTATAATAGTATTTTTTATTTCAACTTAAGCGTTTCAATACTTAGATGACTTAAAGGCAGCATTAGCCATTGTTTAGGAAAATGAAGCTCTAAAATAGTTCGATATTATTCCATTTTATCATTTAAATTCGAATTTTGGTATGTTAAAGCAATTACACCAGTCTTTTAAATTTTTTCATGAAAATATTCAAAATTAACAGCTCAACCAAGAAAACAAATAAGGAAGCAACAGATAGCTCCTAGGAATGACTTTACTTTTAAGCAAATTCTGAAATATCAAATTGAGAATTACATTTTAGCACCTTTAAAATTAAAAATGTCATCACATAATAATATTAATCAAGAAACCATTTATAATTACAGATAAAATAAAGGCCCTTTTGTAAAACTAAAGAATCACTTGGAATAAGCAAAATTTCAATACTACCAATATTTACAAAGCTATTTTGATTTTATTTCAGTTTGACAACATTTCGACAGCAGATTTTCAGTCTTTTTCGAGAGTTGCTCACTAATAAAGAAGTTTCTAATAGAAAACATGATGATTTGAAAAATAAAATCAGTCTTCCACACAAAATAATATATTTTTTTAAACCAACTAAATTTTACATATAAATAAAGTACCCGAATCCCGTGTGAAGTTTAGAAAAAAACTAATTTCTACACTGACATTTAGATAATATATCAAAATATATATTTTGACATCTGCTTAATGAGGGTAATGTCAACAATAAGTTACACAAGTTTAACAGTCCTAAATATGCCCTGAATTATTTAGAAATGCTTTAGTAAATATTAACACTGCCCATTCAAATTTAAAAAAAATTATGTTAACATCTCGGTTAATATCATTGCTTGCCTAATATTTCCAATGCTGTGATAATCACGACCATAAAAAATATTTGACTCAACTATAAAATATCATAAACAATAAACAGTCTGCATTTTGATGATAAAAGCGACTTCAGTTTTTCACAGATTCATAAACTTGAAAAACACGTCGTAAGGTACAAAATGCAAGCATATCACAATAATAACATGGCACACAGCATAAATGCAATTGATAACACGAATCGAGTAAAAATTGGTATATTTCTTATCGCATATACATACAAGGTATTAGAAAAACCTATACGAAAATGCTACTATATCATGAACTTCGATTTTTTTTAAATAGTACTAATGACGCTTAAGACTAAGAAGTGCGAAATCTATTTATTGTTTGAATTACGATGGTTTTATCCCGCCTTCTTTTATATTTTATTTTTACTCTAAAAATGTTTAAATATGTCTCCAAAGGCTGATTATTTACCTTGTTTGAGCGAATTAAAACAAACCAAAATCTGTAATAGATATATATTAAAATATTATCACATTTGATAACTTTTGGAATAACGCAAAGCTAGGAGCTGGTTTTTCTACTTGCGTCTTTTTTCTTCAAGATTCCAAAAGTTTGCTGGCGGTGGGAAACTGCACTTTGCTTCATCAGTGAGGATCGGGCGAAGAGAGAATTGTACCAATTTACCATCCAAATCATCCTACCTACTCATGGCTAGAAGCCGTTTCGGGCAAAATGTTGTCTGAAAGAATGCACATAGCACTGAGTCACTTCAAAAGTTGTCAGGTATTATAATACTTATTTATATTATTATAATTATTTTTTAAATATATACCGTGTCCACAAAACTCCTTATCCGGCCTTTATTTTCACAACCGTTAATCGCAGACATATACTTACAGTTACAAAAATGTTTTTCGTGATGCAAATATTTATATTTTGGCACTTTTAAATTTAAAGCATTAATTTTGTAAAAATTCTAAAATCTAACTTTTTATACCTTCTCTCGGCCCTTATATTATGGAAAATTTAAAAAATAAAATGAAAAAATATGTGATTCCCGTGAGGCCAAAATTGACGGAGATAATCTGATATTAAAATTGCACGTCATATTCAGGGACTGTGCACAAATCGAAGAGCGAAATGTTTGCATTTGTACGTAACTAAAAATAACATATCAGTTAACAGAAAGGGTTCGTGTTGCTAGATTAAGTAACGAGCATTTCTGCGCCAATTATCATGAAAAGTATTGATAAATATAACCTTTTGTTTTCAAAATACAGATCTTATTAGAACACAGAAACTTACAGAACCACAGAAATACTCGTGTTCTTCACAAAAATTTCAGGTCTTACAGATCCACAAAAACACTCGTATTCTACAAAATACTAGCAGTCTTCAGTATTGGCACAGAGCCAACTACTAACATTATTTGAATTAATTAAAAATAAAAATATTTCTTGTTTAATGATTTTTGCATGATTATTATATTATGATTCTAAAATAATAAAACTGCATGAGAATATTAATAATATATAAAAAGTTACATTTTGTAATTTTTACAAAGCTGGTTTCTTTGAATTTAAAAATGCCAAAACATGAATTCTTTATATTATTTAGAACAGTTCTGGAACTGGAAGTACATGTCTACGACTAATGATAGAGGAATTAAAAGCTGGGTAAGGACTTTTGTAGTCACGGTGTATGTTCCTAAGTAAGCAAAACTAAATTAGGCATTTAAAAGATTAAGGTAAAACTTTATTTATTGTTCATTCTATAAGAACTGTAGATTTAAGTAAAAAAGTTTGTTTTTCTAATATTGCCATCAAATGTCTGAAATATCATGAAATTCTTATATCCGAATCTCTTTCCGCTGGAATGTAAAGATCAAAAAGTAACAAATCTATTTACTTTAATGATAGTACAACATGAGGCATATTTTAAGACTTTTTTAAAATCAATTAAGATGTTTACAGATGTAACAATAAAAATAAACAGGGCAAAAACTTTTCGTTTATTGTGAGTTTAAACTGTATATTTGGAAGAAATAAATGAAACTAAAAATGTTGGTGCAGAAAGTGGATAACATCAAAAATTGGGAAAATCTACGTATTAAAACAGTACTGCGATAGCAAATTACTGCAATTTAGTTGCAATCATTGTCGTAATTTCTGTCGTAATATGAGACATGAAAACTTTAAAATAAAAAATCATGAATTCTTCACACGAGATTATAGATCTCTTTAGCCTAATTCGTTTTTTTTAATGTTTTTATTTTAACTGGAATGAAAAAATAAAACTGAAAAAAATACTCTCAGCCATTTATCAAGAATATTTCTTTCACAGAAACAATGCAAAACATCTGAAATATTTATCATCAAATGCTTTAGCTGCAGTTTTGTAGTTTTAAAGTAACTGAAAAGCAGGTCAGATTTCATTGCAATTTCAGAGCGAATAACATAACAGCTAAGCAATTTTTGAGTTACATAAGTACTGTGAAAATATAGATAGTAAGATAAGATACCGTTATCAAACCATAATAAAATAAAAATTTTGATAATCAAAAGGGAATCTCAAATTTTGTTTAAATTACATTCAGTACTGCTTAGGCATAGCCCATGTAAAATGATATCCACTTTTTACACCACGAATTCTATTAGTGGATTAAAAATCTTTCTCATTAAAATGCTGAACAGTTTTCAATACCGTAATATTCCCTTTATAACTGAATAATTTCACATACAGACACAGAGACATCTTACTACAATTAGAAAGATAATGAATACAGTAATATCCGTAAATTACAGACTCTTATTAATGTAAATATTTCTAGAGATACACACTCTTTTACTTGCTTGAAACAGATATTGAAATACATGTATTACTTACACTGTTGTTTAAAGGTTTTACTCAAACTTTAAAATCTTTAAAATAAAAAGCAATGCTTTTTTTCCCTCCCCCATCTTATAGACAGTCACAGGTATAACATTTGCAAGTTTTCTCACTAAATGTAAAGGTTAACAATTATTGTACTGATCATAGAAAATACAATTCCTTAAGAAATCAAATAAAAATTTCTGAGCTATGTTATTTCAGGTACATATATGTTTAAACTTTAAAAAAGTATTCAAAATTGTATACTACAGTTTTCGCAATATGTTTAGCAAACCACTGTCATAAAAATAGTTGACAGGCATTTTTAATACAGTACTTTGCATAATTGAATTGAGGCGTTAGAACTAGTGCCTCTTAAATATCACATTTAAATATACAAATTATATTGTTTTCAGAAGTAAATACAGTTGATTAATCTTTGTCGATGCAATTCAAGAACTAAGAGCTTAGGGTACCTCGAAAATGTATTTTTTGTACGTAATGTTTTCGAATGCAATGCAGAGCTGTATTTAAGTGCTAAATAATCTTTTGCACTATATGCAAACCTACTTATTAACAGCAAACTGAAATTTAACATTATATGCTCTACCTTATAATTGACTTGTGTTGCATATCTTTTGTCATGCAGAGTTTTATGTTACTAAAGTTACCAAAACTGTTGTCAGCAGAATAGGACAATATGCACTAAGAATTCAAATTTACTAGGTATTCTCTTTCAGAAACTGGCTATTTATTTTTATTGTCTTTCACGGGCAAATAATATTTTTACGATAATTTTAAGTTAGTCTCTTACAAGTATATTTAAAAAATTTCTGCGAGTTAGAAATCAATATGTACGTTTTATATGAAAATATGAGTATATTATAGTTATATGATATTTTTTATTCAAATTGCAAAAATATACAGAATTTAATTTTTAGTAATGGCTTGTGAAAATGCAATATGCAAATAGATCTGCGAAAAGAATTAATTTACTTAGAACTTGCCATTTTGATAATAACTACAGCTAAGTCGTTAATACACTAATTCAGAAATTGATTTTTTTTTGGTGGAGTGGATAGAAAGAGAAAAACACACGATTGTATCGAATTATCACAAATTATTGAAGACTAAGATTGTGTATAATTATTATGTAGATATAAATTATGTGCAGAAATGATTTATCAATGAGATTTGAGCCATTGTTGTAATTAAAACCACATTCATTTTGTTCATTTACAGGCAATTAAATAACAGAAGATTTGGCGTACTAGCCAATTAATTTTATTTACAGACAGTATCATGTTAAATGCTTTATAAGTGCAAAAACAAAGCAGTCATAGTGACTTAAAATGCAACTGCAAAGAGGACTCAGCAAGTACGCTGACAGTTCGGATGCATTAAGACAAGAGTTCATAATATTATGATTCATACAGAGCTACAATCCACAAAGAAATGGAAGAAATGAAATTCAAAACCAGTAAAATTCAAAATTACCTATACATATGTTAAAAAAAACCAATTCTTCTGATTTATTCATTTTTTATTTTTATCGAAACTTTTATATTTCTATAATTCTTTTGGTTTGGTGAGTACTGGTTTTTTTCTTCTACATATTTATAAGGAATTTCGAATTTTCTGGTTTGAATTTCATTTCTTTATGTCTTCATTCTAAATTTCTTATATATATATATATTGTTTTCTTAATGTATGTCATCCTGATGAAGTTACTATGATTCTGTATGAAGCTGAATGTATTTTTTTTTAAATACTTCTCTTATTAAAAGAAATTATCAAAAACTTTAATTTTTTTAAAGAGCCATAACAATAATTTTATCACTTATTAAAGAAATATAAATAACTAACTATTGCAGAAACATAATTTTATATTTCAGAATATACTGAATTTTTTGATTCATAAAACAAGCTGCATTGATCTAATTAAAAATGCCTTCTTAATATTGGAACCTATTATTGTTTAACACAGTGAAACAAGATTTGTATAAAATGATTCCAACAAATAGAAATGTAAAAACATTTTTAAATATACAAGAATTCATGCATACATTCATTAAGCTTAAATAATTTTGTCATTTTTTGTGACTCAAGGTGTTAGACTGTCAAAAATGCATGTTTATTCAGCAAATGGTAACTCATATGTAAAATAAGAGTAGTAAACTGTGAAATTTTTTATGCTTGTGCTATACATTTTCTAGTACTGTTTTTCTTCTGAATAAAAAACAAATCATGTCCTAACAATAGTAACTGGATCATTTTTAAATAAATTCACACTGCAAAAAATAACAACAGTTATCATACAGATTTTCAGAATCTTGTTGTGAAACGCAAAATGTATCAAATATTCAAAAATGGACTACAAATTTTCTGATTTCAAAATGGATCTGGGCACAACTGGTCCCTTGGTCAACAAAAATTGAGTTAAGCTAACATAAATGCAGTTAGCTCACAAAAGTGAGGCACAACTTTCAGTGAAGCACTTTAGTATTTCATACCTGGAATGTCAGACGAAACAAACGTTATGTATCATACATTACAATGTATGTTATAACCTTTTGATGATTCACAGAGAGTAACCTATGATTAGCAATGTTTCAGAGACTGTCAAGATTGCTGTACACTTGATTCTGACTCTGCTGATGAAGCTAAAGAATAATTAGCCGAGTCTCGCCTTTGATGAGTTGGGATTGTTTGCATAGTAGTCATTGGGAAATGTGTGGTTGACTTTGAGCTGTTATTAATATTCACTACTGTTGTGGGAAAGTCAGGATGATCAGTGAATGAAGTCATTCTAATATTTGTAGCTCTTTCGAAAGGTTCAATTTTTGAACTTGCTGTTTCATCTGCAATTCGTTTATTATACTTACGAGGGATTGCCATGGAACCATTTAAAGGTTTAATTATTTTAGCATGGGGTACTACGACAGGAGGAGGTGCTACACCTCTTTGCAAAGACATGCTCTTCCATGTTGGCCTTGCTAATGTGACAAGCCCAACATTCTCCATACTAGATGCCCTTTTATTTCCCATACTTCCATTTGAATGTACGCCACTAGACGACTCACTAGTTCCTTTTTCTGGAGACGTTGAGGATTCACTAATTGAACCCGATCTGGGAGTGATTTCACCAGTGTTATCTCTGGACACTCCAAAGTCATTTCTCCTGGAGTTGTTGGGTGGTTGACGGTGTACTGACACTGGCACCCTCAAATGAGAGTTTGTTGATCTTTCGAAATCAGGAAGCTCTTCATCATCAACATCTTCAATACCAGGAGAGAAATGATGAACTTCTAAGTTCTCGTAGTCTGTTCTAAGCACATCTTTTCCATCTCGGGGTAGAAGTCTCTACAACGGAGGGAAAACCGGGTTAATTATGGAAATATAATAAAATGCAGTTCAAACAATGTGCTTGTAAGTTAATTAATTATCTGAATTCTTCCATTTCATTTCATTGATTTTATTTATAAAAGTCTTAAGACTTAAAGAAGAATTAGGTTATAATTTTCATTTGAATAGATTTTTCTCTTCTTGAAAAGAATTTATTGCACAAATGCATTAGAAACTTGCTTTAATATATTGTAAAAAGAATAGCTTGTAATCTTGAAGCTATTAAAGCAATTTGTGCTTTGTTTGTTCCTTTGACCATATGCTTTTCATGGTCAAAAATTAATATAAGATAAAATAAAAGCTTCAACACTTATGAATCAATACACATTTATTTAATAATCATTCCTACCTTACTTAGCAATCCATCGTCTCCATCTCCATCTTCTCTGACTACAGTCATGTCCCTCAGAGTAGCATAATCACCATCATCTGAATCAGAAAGCTCTTCAAACTTCACATTCTGTTTCTTGAATCTTCCTGCAGCTTTAGGTGATTTTTTTAAAGACCTGGTTCTTTTGCAATTTGCAGTTGATCCAATAAGTCCATCTTGAAAAATGACTTTATGCTTAGCCCCAGGAGATTTTCGTTGACTCCTGTGCCATGTAGACGCTCTCTCCGGATCTTTTGGTGGAGGTGGTTTGGGTTTTAACCAATATATGTCATCATCTTCTGATGGAGAAATCTTTGGTATAGATGACAGTGATTTGTGCACTACACTGAGAATGGCTTTTTTAGAATCTTTTTCCCTGACTTGGTAAGTCTGACCATGATCTATAACTAAAAGAGGAGCCTCTTGACCACTTCCTTTGAATCCAGTTAGCTGTAAGTTTGCACAAACTGTGGCAGAAACGAACACCCACCGATGCTTAATAGTTAATATTAGCCATAAAACAATCCACAGAAAAAGGTGAATAATCGTGCCAGTCACACCGGCAAGAACAACTCCATCTAAACTACCGCAATAGACTAGAGTATAATCGTACATCAATGGGCCAGCGCACAGGGCAGTGGCAATAAGAGTCACGAAGGCAGTTAAATGAGGTGCTACTCCCCACAGACGACGAGATTCTTGTTTCCATCGTATCAGTTGACATTGTACTCTACTGTCAACCCACTCTTTGTATTTCTGAATTCCGTAAAAATAAAGCGTTGTTCCAGAAATTATGAGTAATGTGCTGTAAATTAGAAATGTAATCACGGTTAATTTCTCACTGAGCAAGAGATGACTGAATCTTAACAAAACATCTCGAGAACCACATATATGAACTTTATATAATATTGCAAATCCAGCAAATGCAAGTAGTTGCTGCGATGCTGTAAGTAGAAGGTAACAACTGAAAATTAAGCCGAAACTTTTATTAGCGTTCCAAAAAACAGCTGGATATCTAACAGCATACACTAGAAGCGCGATCGTGTAATTTATGAACTCGGATGAAATGATAGCATGTTCTTCTATTTGAATTTCAGGTCGAAGAGATGGCTTCGGAGAATCATCTCCCTGTTGACCCCAGACTTCTGATGCATTCAATGTGGCTATAAAACGCAGAGTCACCAGTCGATCTTTATGCTCTATAAGGAAATCCAAATCTGTCCTCCATATAGCACCTAGAATAAAAAGAAGGGGTCTCTGTTAGTTTAGTTTAATAATAGGTAACAGTTAATATTTTCATGCTCTGAATATAAATAAGCTTAAATGACACCATAATAGTATATTTTATGTTTTCAAAAACAGGCTACCTTTTCTAATCATATTCAGCGAATGTTAATTAATTTTAATAGGTAATTGACTAAATGTTTCAATCTATTTTTAACTATAATAGGCTATAAAAAGGCAGGCATAATTATTCCATTATATCAAGAAAACATACTACAGATTTTACAAATCTAGTTCGTTGCTGTACGTTAAGGTAAAAAATTATCTATTTTCTTTTGTTAGATATTATATGTAAATTATCTTTTATTTATGTATTTTCTTTTGTTAGATATTATATGTAAATTATCTTTTATTTTTATTGTGTATTTTCTTTTGTTATATATTAAATATAATTTATCTTTTATTAGTACATTTTACTGACAGAATCCGTGGAACTCTTTAAGTTATAAAATTTTAATATATCGAAATTAGCGATATATGTAGCCAAGTTGAATGAAGTGTGATATTTAAGTCTACCCATAAAGATTTTAGAGTTATCTTGATTAAAAGATGTATTCTTTTATCTGCATCGTAGTTTCAATAATGTTGTATAGGAAGTTAATATCTGTTACGCTTGTTTTGTAAATTTAGTCTGTTAATTTTTTTAGAAAAAAGGGATAATCTAGTGATAATAAAATAGATTACATTTATGTACTAAATATTGAAACATTATTTTCACGTAATCAAAAAGAGCGTATAAAATAAAAAAAATGAAAATGCCTGCCATAACGAGCTTGACAGAAATTATTTCCTCATTATTCACAACTTTTTAAACAGTTAAGAAAAATAGTTTAATAACATTTGAGTAGTTTAACTTATGATACATTAAATAACAATTCGTTTAGACGTGTCAATCGTATAAAGCAGATAATCTCAAACATTAATACAACGTCACCTGATTTAATTTTCATGGATAATAAAACACACGAGTTTTAATGAGGTTAAAAATCTTTGTTAATATTAACAAATATTTTTGCAATTAACTTTTTATTTTAAATATCTGTCATTGACATTTCTTTTACCTTTTAGAAGATTTTTCTCTCAATCCCTTTACATTTTCAGACAATTTTGTGTTTAATACTTTCCTTTTGATTAAAAATTCCATCATTTTTTATTTATGTTATGCTTTGACGTGAAAATATATGATAACTGGTAAGCAATGCCAAAATATAAATTTCCACTGGCACTACGAACAGCACTTTTGACAACACTTTATTTATGTATTGCATCCTCAACATATTATTGAAAGAGAAAATATCGACAGATAACGTTAGCATAATTATTGAATACCAGTCTTTTTCGGGTTCGCTGTTTGATACGTAAGCAGGTAACTCATCGCGACAAAGCTAAAGGCCTATCTAACTTGCAGGACATGTCTTTGTGAGGAACATGCTAAGGAAATCTATCTTGTGTTCGGAGAATGCATGCAAATGCGTAATGTAGTGAGTGTATGTCACAGTGTGAACCAGTTCCTGGGCCTGAAACCGATTTCTAAAATACAACAGGTAGATGATATTTACTATACCTTGAAAGTAAGCAGCATTTTAGATATCCTTGCACTAGTGGAGCTATCCATCCTTTCGATTCTTAGCATAAAATTGAAAAATCTGTATACTTCTCCCTCCCAGTTTTCTATATAGAATGAAGAAAAAGCATTGGGAATTAATATGTCCCTCTTTACCCATGTCTTCATTATATATTTCCTTAGTAATAATTTTTCTTTACACTTAGAGAAATATCTAAGAAGTTTCCTCAGATAGTCTCAGAAGTTTCCTCAGATAGTCTCAGAAGTTTCCTCAGATAGTCTCAGAAGTTTCCTCAGATAGACTTCAATAGAATATGCATCACATTTTAGATTTTGAATCATATTCGTTGTAAGAGACATTCTTTGTTGTCATCTTTTTCCCTAGCTGTATAAACAGCAGTAACCATGAATATTTTCTGATGATGAGAGACCCTTAGGATGCATTGGGACTTTTTTAGAGAAAAAGTATATGATATTTATTGCCTATATTTTATGAAAAGTTACAGTTTTTTTAAAAAATACGTACAATATGAAACCATGTATTTGATAAACATCATAGACTTGATTGAAGCAACAGAAGGAAATGCTTTTCTTTTTCGACTCTGCCCTCAAAGGTAAAAAAATGGAACATTTTCCTATTCATGTGAAATTATATATGCCCCCTCCATTAATCCATTAAAGAGTGATCTTGAAGCGAATTAATAATTTCAGTCGCTTCTTCCCTGATGTTCAACGTAACATGAGGTCACTTAGAGATAATAAGAAGACAGAAGATAATAAATGACAACTAAATTATGTCGACATCATCCAATAGATGATTCAAGAGCGTCTTTTAAAACAACAGAAAGAAAACAAAAACACTATGGAATATCAAATATAAATTGTTTAAAAATTATTAAACTATTAAAGTCTTCGAAAACTACATTAGACGAGATTATTGAAATTAAAATACTCTTTGAACACTTAATTCATTTCAGTCAACCAAAACTTTATTGACATGACATTCCTATTCTCATCACAAAATTAAAAAGGCCTTTAATATAAATAGATTAATTAATTTAAAATTAAATATATTAATTCAATAAGGTCTTTAAATATTTCTTTAATGATTATCTCATAATCAGTTTGGATTACATGATTATAATTATCAAGGAAATAATTTAAACACAAATTAGCGTTTTAAATTTTATTTTATAGAGCTTGCATGAAAGAAAAAAGTGCAAGTTTACAGTATAGCTTTAGTTAAAAAATTGGGAAAATACCAAAACATATTTCATTAAATAAACATATGAAATCCGTTATATTCATTCTTATTCTGTTGATATTTTTCTAAAAAGTTACAATTTTTAGAACCAGAAACAGAGAACTCAAGACTGATAGGGTAACACGTAAAAGTGCTGCCAGTTCCTCCCTGGCAGAGGACAGCGGTAAAATAAAGTAGTAAGAAGTATGTATGAAAGACAAAAATGATCGTCTACATTATCTTTTAAAAGGTAATATCATCCTAAATATTTCTAAGCATGTAAATATATTCGCATTCCTAGTTCTTAGAATTTCGCTTTTCCTCGCGATGGACAAAGCGGTACTTTCTTTTCAAATCCTTTTGGTTAAAACGGTGCACTTGACAGTGATCACAAAGTTGAAGTGGTGTGGTGTGGTGTATTTAATTATGGCAAAGCACACGAGAGCTATCTGCCTAAAGGGAGGGATGCCTTCGTGGAGGAATTTCTAAGGGAAACTGGCTCGTATACACGTTACACATGGGGAAAACCACGAAAACGCCCATGCAGCCAGCCCGTTCGCGGGATTCGAACCTCGGACCGAACTACCAGTGTTCAGCGACTTTACCGCTCGGCCGCTGGTGGGCCTCACAAAGTTGAAGTAATCTCAAGTATTTTAGAGGTAAGATACACTATGTTTTACTTCAAAAATGGTCACAAACTATAAACATCGTGAAACACTACTATTTAAATCCAAACAAAAACACTAGAATTTGGACAGGTAAAATCATAACAAAATTATGAATGAAGAAATATGTGCAGTCTCTTAAAAAAGAAAAGATGTGTTGGTATGGAAACGAACGTAATATTTCTTCAAACTTGAGGTTGCGTTCTGTTTTAATGCATTAAAAGTGGTTGTTAACTTTAGTAAATTTAGTAGTTTCAAATATCTTCTCTTGGAGAATTTGTTTCAACTTGGGTATACCGATTTTAGCTTGCATTGAAATAGTTTTTTCAACAGATATTAGTAATTTAGAACTGCATATTTAATGCATATAAATCTCCATCAAAGAAATACTTCAAATTGAAGCCCTTCATATGCTTCGTAAAATAGTAACTAACATAATCATTTAACGAGATTCTATATTTTCAAACCCAGAACTCGATAATGCAGGTATATCACGAATCCAATATCAAATTATAAAAAAACAATCATTAATTTATATAGTTTGAGATACAGCGATGATTGACCTTTTGAACTTTTTGAAAATTGGAAAGGTGATTGTAATAACTGTTATTAGAAAGCGATTAAAGTGATGTTCAACGATTAAACTTTATTTAACGCCGTAATGCAACTTTGCTCAAACCTCTATCTCTTATTTTAGCTTCATATATTACTGCCACCCTTTGAGAAGTACAGTACCTATCATTTAAGACATTTTTTAAAAAATATAAACATTGAAAGCATTATTTCAGTGTATGAAATTCGCCTTAAGAAAGAGAAAATATATTTACAATTCGAACTCTGAATACTTTTTTTCCTTTTTTTTTTTTTTTTTTTTTTTTTTTTTTTTTTTTTTTTTTTTGTGGTTCATGTCACAGAAACAGGTTATTTTATCATAGTGTAAAGACATTAGGTATTTTTGGAAGCAGGTAAGATGAAAAACGAGCAATCGCCTTCGCCGGGAATCGAATCACGGACCTCTGGAATACAGGCCCAGTGTGCAGAACCACTACATCACGAAGGCACGCTAGGAAGGCGGAAGAAATAACTTATAATAGTAATCGACTTCATCAAATTCTGTGCATACTTTTTTTAACAATATGAAAATGTAGTTAGTGTGTACACATTTTTACTGAAAAAGTTTAAAATAACTAGGGAAATTAAATTAAAAAGAGAGGTATCGTTTTAATTAATGTCCCTAATACTTTTGTGATTGATTACTTGTTGTCTTTAATTTAATGTTTCTTTATGTCGTGTGTACTTAAAGAAAGAGAGAGGAAAATCCTTTATGGTTGTGGGTATAGCAAATATACTTGGAATCGAGAGAAATAGTGCAGTTCTGGGCAGGAAAGACCAGAATAAGGAATAAAAAGATACCGATGGAGGGAAAATGATTTCCTGTAGCAAAAGACTTGAAACAAAATCTAAATAATAAATAAATAAATAAATTTTGCGCACTTTAAATGAAAATATTAAATAGCTCTGACGTTTTGTTTTGCACTTTGTTAAAATCTCCCTTTGAGGTTACTTTATAGGAGCCTCAGTTTTGAAGATAGATTGCTTTTGATTACTTAGTACAGCAATTTTAATTTCACACTTTCTACGCTCTTTCAATTAAACAATTTTCTATTGATTTTAACATCTTATAAAAAGTTTTTCCATTTGAGAAAATAGTAGATTATGTCAAAATAAGCTGTCTCATACTGGAAGAATGTTATTCTGCCAAATTGCTTGAAACGGAGGAAAGATCATTGAATGTTTATTTTTTCCCCCAATGGCGGGCTCTAGCCGTTTATAGACGTTGGTCATTATTAAGTCTGGAAGTCGTGGACTCTATTATGGAGGCACCTAATAGCTGGGCCACCGTTGCGTCCTATGAAGAGACAGACAAATTACATCCGTGCCTTCTCCGGGATTCGAATCCGGACTTTTTAAATAATCAGTTAAAATCACAAACCACCTTCCCATCTGGGCGGCTCTCTGAAATTTAATTGACACATTTGAGTAATTCAACGGAATTCAGTAGATCGGAGCATTTTAACAGAATTTCAAAAAGCAAGCATTTAAATGAATCGTAGCAGGAAAAACAAAACTGGAAAAGAATATACAGTGCGATATTTTGATACCGATTGGCTTTCGCTTTGACTTTGGCGAAGTCAAAGTTTTGAAGTCAATGCGAAAGCAAATCTAAGCGAATTTTAAATGCATTTTATCTACCATTGAATAAAAGAATGACATATCTGAGGAAAGTTACTCCTCGGATTTTTGGGGAAGGGCTCTTCAACTGAACTGTATCATCTCATTTTCCAATAAATAAGATTAGAAGAATACTTTATTTTTTTTATCGAACGCAGTCAGATATGTTAACTAAATCTGCAAGAAAAAAGATACATTTAAAGATTGATGAAAAGAGCAGTTTATTCTGAAAACAAAATAAAAAGGAATAAGTTATTTCATCAAGGGTCTAAGTCATCAGGGTATTCAAAACAGGGATCTGGATTTTCATGATATCTTCATTCTAAAAGCACCTACCAGAATGGAATTTTTCTAAAAACGGTTGCAGTAATGTGTTCCTTAAACATCATTCCTAAAAAAAAAAAAAAAAAAAAAAAAAAAAAAAAGAAAAGAAAAGAAAAGGGAGAAAAATTTTTACTTGGTACCCTCCCTTTTTGCGAATCTAATTACTACTCGCCGGAAAGCTTGAAATTTCTAAAAAATTTGCCACAAGGAAAAAGTTCATTATTTTTTCGTTTTCTTCTGTTTGTCTTATTTGAAATAAATCTGCCTGAGCTGCGCGGCTTTCTGCTCAGGAATTCGAAGTACAGGAACTTCCAGAAGAACTTCCAGCTTAGAAAAAGTTTTCAAAATAAAAAAAAAAGTTTCCCGATTCGCGTTCTTAATTGCATTTCCAGTTATTTACAGAAAGCGGGATTTCATGAAAAACCGGGGTGCCAGCTGCAAATGGATTTAATCGTCTTTGGGGATAAATGATAAATAAATGAATTACGATTAAAAATGCTAATATGAATTAAAGGGCAAGCTTTTAAAATGATTTCCATTTTAATAATGGCATAAAGCTACTTTTTTTTTTCTTTCTGTGATTTCTGTTTCAATTTTGGAAAGCAGCGTTTATCTAAAGTCTGATAATAATTTTATTATCATTTATCTTTACTATTAAGAAATAGTTTTTTAATGTTTATTATATCGTATGCTTTTACGGAATCTTCTTTTATTTATTTATTTTTAGGTCTTAATGAATGAACGTGCTGGCATTACGTGGTTTTCGTAGATTTTCCTGTGTGTAATATAAAAGCCAATATCTTCATAGAAGAACTCTTACGATCATATCTCTCTTTACGTCAAAACCTTTGAATACTTTATCACAATCAATTAATGAATTATTTTGCCTTATTTTTAAATAGTTACATTTATATATAGAGAAGTCATTATTTGTTTTATTAGGTTGAAAATATAACAATGATTTTTGGTTACCTTATAAGGCATCTTTCCCGTTTCCCTAGCGTGCCTTCGTGGTGTAGTGGTTCTGCACGCTGAGCCGGTATTACATAGGGCCGTGGTTCGATTCCCGGCGAAGGCGGTTGCTAATTTTTTATCTTTGCTGCTTCCGAAAAACACCTAATGTCTCTACGACCTTATTTTCATTGACGTAATTTTTGTTTGATATCTATAGCTCGAAGTTTTTTAAATATTCGATTGATTTGCTGAATACCAACTATCATGTGAAAATATAAGTGTTAAAGAGTATATAAAGTTAAAATTTTTAATGAGAAATCCTTCAATTAGTGTGAATATACGGAACGTGCTGCATGTCGCAACTATATATATATATATATAGAAGCGGCTTTCGGGTCGCGTCGGCGTGCCGGAAAGATGACCAAACTTGATCATTTAGAGGAAGTAAAAGTCGTAACAAGGTTTCCGTAGGTTTCCGACCCCCTTCGATATTAGGAGACGAGTTGCAGATAACGGACAATCTCTTCGTATTGGCTAATGCCCACAGAACTTCGCTCCCCCTTACATACGTCATACGACTGAAGTACACAGAAGGGAATTACAACCACTTTTCAACTAGTTTTAAGAGGGAGAGATCTGCATCTCCACAGGTCAGTTTTTTGTTTCTTTTGTTACAACTTTTTCTTGGTCTTAGCAAGACCCCCTTAGTTTGTTATGATCTTAATTTTCTTTTATTTTAATTACAGATTTTCATTACAGATTTCTAAAATATATAAAATTGTTAATCTTGCAGGCCCAGTCCGTATGTTTTTTTGTATATTTTAGGACTAATAGCAGACCGCTATTTATTTTAGTTTTTATTTTGATTTTAATTTTGACTTTGATTTTAGTCTAGATTTAAGATGTTTCGGTATAGTTTAACATATTTTAACACCTTAATGTGTCATTTTGTGCGGACGCGTCGGGAAATTGGAACAGAGAATTGAGACTATTAAAATTTTCCAAGACACTTTGTCTAAATTAAAAAAAAAATTTGTAGCGAAAAAGTTTCAATTGTTGTGTTTCGGCGAAACGCGTAACGGGGTTAGCTTGATTCGACGTTCAAACAAATTAAATTTCCCTTGAAAAGCCAGTTTGGAAGTCGAGTTGGGCTAATTTACCATTTTCCGCTTACATTTTTTTTATCTGATTCTGTTTTTTTAATGTTTTACATGTTTAATGGTTCGATTTTCATATGTATTAATTTTTTTAAACGTGTTGAACTTCTTGGAGCAACAGCTCCTGGTAACTTTTAGGCGAGCTTACTAGATTTTTTTTTATATTTTACTTATTTTGCAGCACATTGCGCAAGATGTTTTCTAGACCAAATTGGTTTTTCAAAATTGTAATTACTACCTTGCTTGATATCGTATATATATATATAATATATCATATATATATCATATATGATATATATATATATATATATACATATATATCATATATATAAACTTGTTTTTTCGCACTAAATGAATTTAAGATCATACAACACATATATATATATCACAGTTTGAAATGCCAGGTTTTTCCTTTTTTAGACGTATTTTTAAGGTGCCAATGAGAAAGAGGCATACTTAGACATAAACTGTTTCTCTCTATTATGGATTTATATAAAGCACAAAAAACAAAAAAAATTTGGCTTTTCGTTTTGCAAAGCAAAAAAAGAAATATAGTAATTAATAAGAATTCAACAAATCAGAGAGGGGAAGGAAAAACTAAAATAGAATTACAAATTAGACAAGTATAACTAATTAAGAGTTTAATTTGATAAAAATTAGTTTCCTGACGTTCTAAAAGTATCTTCTCTGTTTTAGCTGTTAAGAAGCTATTGGAGAATTTAAATTTTAAATTTAGGTTTTGGAGAAATATTTACTATGTCGTAGCCGCAATTGTTTCTTTTACATTAGATGTTTGAAACAGAATATGGCTTCAGTTTTTTACTTGCCCTGAGTAGTTAAGAATTCATAAATTTACAGAAAGTAACAATAAAAATTAAAGATATGTATTACAAATAAAATCCTGTTACACGAAAAGTTAATATACCCGATTTTTTTAATACTGCATTTACTTTGAATCGCTTTTAGGATTTTTGAATTTAATAAAGAATATTTTTTAATGTTACCTTTGCTGAGGAAGCCATGTTTAATAAGTTGGGCTTCAATGAGCAGCCTAGGTAGTAAAAGGCACATAGATGCTGCAAGGTGAATCAGCGATGCTATTGGTCCTCCGTGCTTCCATAGAGATTTAACCCATCGGCAACATTTCCTTTTACGTAGATTTTGGTAGACAACCATATCTGGCTCTTCATCACCGATCTTATGTCCATCATTGGCGTAATTTCCAACTTTCATCAGTGCAGATATTACAAAAAATGGCATCAAAACCACTGCAGCTCCTATGAAAGCTACATAAGCATTTAGTTCAAAGTACGGCTGTCCCTGAGGCGGCCATGGCAAGGACACATATCGGGTAAACCTTTGAATACTTGTGACCATGATGTATATTTGCAAAGCCATTGTAAACACACAGTACCACACAGACCATTGACTATTTACTCTGGGACGCTGACACTTGGTGAAACCATCACTTGGCCTCTTAACCAGACGTCCAGCTTGAGTTTGAGAAACCATATTTAATGTGCTTTAGGGGTAAATAATGTTGATGCTTCTTGTGATTCTTTTGTTTGCATTTATGAAATTGAATTATTTTTGATTCGTTTACTTAAGGCATTCAGTTCTGCTCAGCAAAATTTCTGTTTGTTTAATATCTATATTTTCCAAAGAATGCAGCTTTTTCTTATGCATTTTCAAAGTTTACAACACATCTGTAAAAAAGAACAGAGTATTTTATTAATCACACTACCTCAAAAAGAGCAAAACATTTCATCTTGTAACAATGAAAATTAAATGAAATTATTTGTTACATTACAATTTAGAGAATGAAATTTGAACGAGATTTAATTGTAAAGTTAAGAATTTAGTTTTCACTAGCTTATTTACAGTTATTTATATTAACATTGGCTATCAGTGTGATTTAATATTCATTCTGCTATTCTCACATTACTTACATACCCGATAACAATTCCTGTAACTCCAAATTTTAAAATACCACATTTTATATCATGATGCAATTTATATCGTTGCTGTGCTATTACATCCATAAACACCTAATGATTTATAGATAAAGTTTATAGATCCTTTTTCTAAAGTACTTCAATACTAAATATTATTATTATTCGTTATCACATATTATTATTTTGAGAAGTAATGTTCTACTAAATTCTACTAATAATATTCTACTAACGACTACTAAATTTTCATTATTAGAGCATAGTAGGTTCTGATAATTATAAGGTATTTCTCCCGCCTTCTTAGCGAGCCTTAGTGGTGTAGTGGTCTGTACGCTCAGCGCATAATTGAGAGGTCCGCGGATCGATTCGCGGCGAAGGCGTTGCATATTTTTTATCTTGCCTGCTTCCAAAAATACCTAATGTCTCTACAATGGCGTCCGAACTAAAATGATGTTAGATGATGATTCTCCTCACCCAGGATTTGGCGACTGGATCCCCTAAAAACCTCAGTCGCCGTTTAAAAGGGGGAGTATATAAGGTATTTCTCCCGCCTTCTTAGAGAGCCTTCGTGGTGTAGTGGTCTGCACGCTCATCGCGTAATTGAGAGGTCCGCGGATTGATTCCCGGCGAAGGCGTTGCATATTTTTCATCTTGCCTGCTTCCAAAAATACCTCTACACAATAATAATTCAATCTTTGATGATTTTACTGGCTATCCGACAATTCAGATAACTGAAGAAAGAGCAGAAATATCTAACCCTTGGTTGCCACAGAAGTTTTACAAGGCAAGTCGATAGCTCTTGCTAGTTTTCGTTTTTAATATTTAAACTCCGAAATAAATCCTTAGTCATAATTTGAATTGTAAGTTTAGAAATTAAAAAGACTTCATTGTTTAATATTTTAGCTGTTTAATGGAGAAATATTAATTAAGTTTTCGGCATGTATTAAAGGAAAACAATAATTAAACGAATATGAAGTATAGTTTTCAATCAACGATATTTCATAATCATCAAAATGTAGCTTGGATGAAAGTTATTTTAACTGAATAAGTATATTTTGTCGAAATCCTTTTCTGCTGCATATGCGAAACTTCCAAATTGATTTTTAATGGAGCTATGAATATGAGTGAAATTAATTAACACTTGTTACCATTAAGCAAACTACCGTTTCTCCACTAGCCTCCAATGTGAAGTTATTTTGTCTAGATTGACTCTAAATATAACTAAATAATAAATTAATACAAATAAAAATTTTCCAAACTTCTCAATTTCTGTTTTGTCTTACTGTTTGTGTCCTTCCTTTTTTGCGTTTTGTGTCGGCATTACCGCGCAACGAAAGCGTCTCCGAATATGTGAAATCCCATCGTCTAGGTGTAATCTATCTCTCCTGAAAGTTTGTTACCCCGCTGTACTGTTACTCGCATGTTTTCCGATTTACCCTAGCAATTTTGCCGCTTAAAAATCGGGAGAAGAACCCAATATACTATTTCTGAAGGTATATATTTTACTATTTCTGAATTATAAGCGGTGTATACTATTTTTCAAAATACGGCTTTAATGATAAACATAGCATATTACAAAGCACACGTAAAGTTACACAGCACAATAAAAGCACACCTTATTTTCAAGAGACTTCTAAATTTCAATAATGTTCTTTTTATTTACGCAAAATACCGTATTTACGGGTGTATTAGACGCGCTGGCCTATAAGACGAGCCCCCTTTTTTATTCACATGTTTGAAGAATAAAACTTTGTTATTGATCATTACAATGAATATACAGTATTTTAAATATAAAGTAATACAAATACAATGTAATACTTTCTGCAAACATCCAATCTATCTGGAAAAGAACACCTTGTAATCTTCTTCTTCATAACTCAGACACTCATCTCCAGAGCTAAATGAAGAGTCACTTGAAACCTCTTCTAAATCAGCATCTGAGTCCTCATACAACACATTTTCCTCTGTACCATCCAGTGCATTACTAATGCCACAGTTTTTAATTGATTTAACCACTATCTCTGTTTTCACAGTATCCCATGAAGCTTTAACTCATTCACAAACTTGAGAAATACTAGGCTTCTTCCTTCTTCCTGATGGTGTAACCTGAAAATTTGAAGACTGCATCCAGCTATTCCACTTCTTCATAAATCCCTTAAATGGTTTATTAGTGCAGACATCTAAAGGTTGAAGCTGACTAGTTAAGCCTCTTGGAATTACAGCTAACTGAGTTTTTGATTCTTTTGATTGAGTTTATTTTTAACATCTTGAATTCTGTTAGAATGAAACTGATACTAGTAGGGCAGGTTTCTTCAACAGTCCGCCAGGGAACTTCGACCAAATTTTATCTATCCATAACTTCATTCCTCCTCCATCAATACAGTCTTTTGCGTGAACATGTATAAACACTCATTTAGGCAATTTTGTTTGGGTAGTGTCTTTCTTTTAACAATCAATAGTGGGGGCAATTTTCTCCCATCAGCACAGCAGCATAAAACAAGCATGTAGTGAGTTTTTCGTGCCCTGAAGTTTTAACAGTAACACTTTTTGTAACTTTGGGAATCTACAATTTTGTCTGCGGGCACATCAAACGTCAGAGGACCTTCGTCCAATTTTCTCGTTTTCGTGCATTAATGACGAATCCATGAAATTCAATAATTTTTTTTTCATATTCGTCTGGCATCTTTCGCGATATTTTTATTTTAGTCCGCATACATAGATGGTTTCTCTTCATGAATCTTGAACACAATGATCCTGATCCAGTAAAATCGCCAATCTCTGTATCAGTCGCTATCTCTTTCGCTTGATGAATAATAGTTTTTAATAGAGACTGAAAGTTCCGCTTTTTTTTGGTATAAAATCTAAGTATTCAGCTCTGCCTCAAGTTCAAGCCATTGTACAGTTTCTCTTCGTAGGTTATATTTACTGTGAGTTGCTTTTTTAGATCCTCCTTCTGATTAAGCAGAGTTTTTATCATTTTCTCAGCTGGTGGGGCCCGAAATGCCCCTGTGTAACGTTGATTTTGAGCCATAACTTGCCAACAAATCTAAGAAAACTAAACAGTAGAAATTTCACACACTTAAAAGTGATTCACAAAAATTAGAAAGTTTAAAGGAACCCAACTGTGATCGTCGGTGACAGCCCATGCTCATTCACTGAACTCTACGTAACTGTAATATTCCTTCACTCCGCAAGGAATCAAGAAAAAATCGCATAACTCCGAATAGAGGAAATTTCCAGAAATGAATGCAATCAAAAACTGAGTATCGACGTATAAGACGCACCCTGTGTCTCAGACCTATTTTCAAAAAAAAAAAAAAAAAAAAAAGTGCGTCTTATACGCCGGCAAATACGGTACTTCCTTATTTGCGCATACATTTTACACCCTTATCATGCATACGATTTAAACCTGAGGTCCAAACAGACCAAAATATGTTTAGCAGAAAGCCTTTGTGCATGTGGAAAAGATTTTTAATGCCCTCCTTGAAAGAGAGACAATGTGACCGCTAGCAATTCCTTCCTTGAAAGAGAGACAATGTGACCGCTAGCAATTCCTAAGAGCTCAGTCTGGGAGCTCCTGTCACACTCAAGGTTTAGAGTTCAAACAGGTTTACTAGCTAGCCAAGTACCAGTGATGGGTGGGTGGGCACAAGCCATTCCGCCATGATTTGTGATTTTTTTCAAAGAGTATAATTACAGATATGTGAGGACAGAAGAGGAGGAAGTTAAAAAACTACAGCCCTCCTTTGCTAATTTGTCCGGCATTTCATTGCCGTAAAGATCCACATGAGAGGGGATCCACTGCAAATAGATATCATGGTGCTGGGAAATTAGGTATAATTTTTGTAGAACAGAAATACTGGTTTTGTCGCCTTCAAGAATCCAATTATCAAGATGATGTGTGAGCTACGACTATCAGATCAAATCCATAGATCACAAAAATTCTTCTCTCTTAATACAGCCTCGAGCCCCAAACTGATTGCAATCAGTTCACTCCTAAAGACAGAACAATGATTTGGATTAAAATGACAGAGAGTCATTTTTTCCCAACTGCCATCTGTGAAGATCTTAATAGCATTTTTGGGAATGGTGCTTGTTACCACCAAAGCCATCTGTCTCATGTATTCAATGATAAAATCCTTCTTATTTACAGCAGTAGTAAAGTTACAGTGAAAGTTGACCCTGGAGAGACCCTCCGATGGCCTCAAACAACACTGCAGTGAGTGGGGCTCAATACTGCATGAACGTAGGCTCAACTAGACCAAAAGGGCAGTTTTTATTTAGTCTTTGTCGATTTTTCCACCTATTTAGGTATACTAAAGTTTTATTGTATTGGCCGTAACTACAGAGTTTGTTAAAGTATTTAACAAGGCTAGCTAGTCTTCTAGTCTGAAGTGATTGCAAATCGGCCTCAAAAAAGGAGTATTTCTGTAGGGCAGCTGTGCCTCAGCCCAGTAATAACACGAGCTGCACTTAATTGAACTTTGTCTTAATTCTTCAGATTGGAATCAGAGACACAACAATAAATTGGAAGCCCAAACTCGAGTATGGGTCGAATGAATGCCAAATAAGTACTTCTGAGGGTACTCGCATCAGCTCCCCGAGCCCTACTCGCGATGTATTTAAGAATGTTTAGTCGTTTTCTGCTTTTTTTGAACAATATTTCGATATTCTTGTGACATGTAAATTCAGGGTCAAGAATAAACCCCAGATATTTAAGGTGCTTCTCGTAGGTAAGTTCCTGATAATCAAGC